ACTGTTTTTTTCTTTGCTAATGACGCAAATATTTTTAACAACGATAAACTTATTTACTGCTTGGGTGGTCCGGCAGTGTAATATTAATCAGTAGTAATACCCTATAACGCCCACGCAATAACGTACAATGAACACGTAGCAGAGTTAACAAGCAAAAATATTAACATAAGTACGACTCCACCAACGGTGAAAAAACTTTTTCCACCTATTATTTTCTTGTCTTTTTAGAATGTTTTGTGTTTTTGTTTTGTTGCTTTCCGATCAAGTGTTAGTGAAAAATTTTAGAATTCTCCATACATCAGGTAAAATAAGTTCAACAATAATTTTTCTACAAGCACTGAAATCTTTGGCTAGAAGTGATTAATGTGAAATCCAATACATACCAACGCCATAGTTCGGTCATCTTGGCAAATCGCAACCCCAGTGAAGAACGACAGTAGAAACACAGTAGCCAACATTTTCATGATCGAGTACTCTGCAGAAAGCCCCGAATGAATTGAGAATTCTGAAGACTTGCTTACTTATTTTATAGCAAAAACTTGTATTCTCATTGCATGTCCCAGATACATACGTTAAGTGAATATTTTATAACACATCAGCTAAAGGCAGGTATCATTTTACTCATGGAACAGCTAAGCAAGTACAGCGTATTAGTATCTTGGGTAGTCATAAAAGAACCTTTCATTAGAGAAATTCCTATTGCAGCTACTTAAGTAAGCGTTTTGTTTCAGGTTGTTTTGTGGGTCACGTGGAATTACAATCCTGTTTGCATTCAATTTTCGCTATTGACAGTGTTTGTGATGTGAAAATGGTCACCTTGGGCTACTAAGTGCCTACACTTTGCTCTAAAAAATGTTTTTGAGTTATTCTTGCCCTTCACCTTACTTTTGGTCAAATGAGTCTGTTATTATGTCCGGCAATGGAATATTTCTTACTCATATGTCACGTTAGACTTATTTACTTCAAATATACATATTGGTACGCAATACTAATTTCAACCCGACTTTCGATATATAATATTATTTCTTAATTGAACTTTAATTTTCTTTTCTTTTATAATATAGTTACAAGAATTGCTTGCNCTTCTTATTATTTTTTTATAGTAATAGTAATGGGAAGTGTTGCGATCCTGACTGTTTTTTTCTTTGCTAATGACGCAAATATTTTTAACAACGATAAACTTATTTACTGCTTGGGTGGTCCGGCAGTGTAATATTAATCAGTAGTAATACCCTATAACGCCCACGCAATAACGTACAATGAACACGTAGCAGAGTTAACAAGCAAAAATATTAACATAAGTACGACTCCACCAACGGTGAAAAAACTTTTTCCACCTATTATTTTCTTGTCTTTTTAGAATGTTTTGTGTTTTTGTTTTGTTGCTTTCCGATCAAGTGTTAGTGAAAAATTTTAGAATTCTCCATACATCAGGTAAAATAAGTTCAACAATAATTTTTCTACAAGCACTGAAATCTTTGGCTAGAAGTGATTAATGTGAAATCCAATACATACCAACGCCATAGTTCGGTCATCTTGGCAAATCGCAACCCCAGTGAAGAACGACAGTAGAAACACAGTAGCCAACATTTTCATGATCGAGTACTCTGCAGAAAGCCCCGAATGAATTGAGAATTCTGAAGACTTGCTTACTTATTTTATAGCAAAAACTTGTATTCTCATTGCATGTCCCAGATACATACGTTAAGTGAATATTTTATAACACATCAGCTAAAGGTAGGTATCATTTTACTCATGGAACAGCTAAGCAAGTACAGCGTATTAGCATCTTGGGTAGTCATAAAAGAACCTTTCATTAGAGAAATTCCTATTACAGCTACTTAAGTAAGCGTTTTGTTTCAGGTTGTTTTATGGGTCGCGTGGAATTACAAACCTGTTTGCATTCAATTTTCGCTATTGACAGTGTTTGTGATGTGAAAATGGTCACCTTGGGCTATTAAGTGCCTACACCTTGCTCTAAAAAATGTTTTTGAGTTATTCTTGCCCTTCACCTTGCTTTTGGTCGAATGAGTCTGTTATTATGTCCGGCAATGGAATATTTCTTGCTCATATGTCACGTTAGACTTATTTACTTCAAATATACATATTGGTACGCAATACTAATTTCAAACCGACTTTCGATATAATATTATTTCTTAATTGAACTTTAATTTTCTTTTCTTTTATAATATAGTTACAAGAATTGCTTGCTCCCGCAAACAGTTCCAGAACCAATCGAGGCGAGGACAAGAGTTTATATTAAAAAGGAAAGAAAGAGAAAAAAAGTAATGATAATGGTGATATATCGAACGTGGCCTGTTTACAGCATAATAATTTACAGATAATTTATGCGAGTGAATATCGTGAAACATTCTGCGTGTGAGCCTACGAAAACAACAAAAAAAATTTTTGCATGAAATAATGCCACCGCAGTTTTATCTGAAAATTTTTGCCATCGTAGAAAAAGAAAAGAAGTGTTTTTACTTCTAAAATTCTGATTTCCTGTCAGTACGTCTAAGGT